GTCTGGATGATGACTGCAGACTGAGTCCTCTTTTCAGAATTCTCCTGTTTTCATTGCCTCACCTATTCTTCCTGCCTGGCTACTGGCCAATCAGCATTTATTTAAAATACAACTGACAGGGTACAGACCATTGTCCCAAAGCAAGGAAGGGCTGTATTACCTGGCATCACAGATTTAATTATGTCATGTACCCAAAGGGTAAGAAACAAGCACTTGGGTCATCTTATGACCTGTTGTATGGTTTGGATCTCAGATACTCCTACCCCAAAGTTCAAGTAGTGGGGCGTGGTTGCTGCCTGATGGCTTTGGTGTAAATGAGTAGATTCTCACATCTCTGATATAAGAACATTGATAAATCCCTTGACAAATTTATAATATGATGATGACATTATTAGGAGGTGATCTAGCTATTGGTTTCAGAGATAGCATTTGAAAGAACTATACCTGGGCAACCTAGGTCATGTTTATCCCCCTGAGAAGTTAATTCTCAGACCCTCATTTTGAAGTTGTCTTAGGTGTATGTTCTCCTGCTGTACATCAACAAACTTCCCGTTAAATTACATCTTTATTTCTGTAGTATTTCAGGAAATGGAAAGCTGAAGAGGTAGGCGTGGCCAATCCCAAAGGCTTTGACTACTACATTAAGTTGGAGCCTGCTGTGATGGTGACTGCCTAGCTGCAACCCCAGTGCTGTCTTAGCTTTGGAGGCTAAGACAGTAGGACCTTGAACTCTAGGCTTATTTTATTTTATTATTTGATCCAGTCTTTCTAACTACCCTCTCTTGACCTCTGTTATGTGACAGCAATTACTTATTCTTGAATAGGGAATGCATTCCCTTTACCCATTAATTATGCTGAAGGCTCAAACAGCTAGCCATGTTTAGCAGGAAAGTGAATGTGTGGATGGGAGGAAGTCTGTCACTATAAGGGATACAGTGTTCTGGACTAGGCTTAGATGCTCAATGACAATCTCTCTAAAAAGAGGTCTAGATATTTTGACTCTGCTGTTTTCATATCATGGTGAAACATAAAAACATTGAAAGCTTTTCTAAACCAACATGACAGTGTATATCTAGAACAGTTTCTAGAGAAAATCCTACTACACAAGTATATTTTATTTTCTAAAATACTTTGTTTTTCAAGAAGAGCGGGGAATGTATGTCATCGCACATGTGTGGCGGTCAGGGGACAACTTGCAGGAATTGGTTCTCTTACTGCAGTGTTTCTCAGCCTTCCTAATGTCATGACCCTTTAATACAGTTCCTCATGTTGTGGGGACCCACAACCATAAAATAATTATTGTTATTTCATAACTGTAGTTTCGCTACTGTTATGAACTATAATTTTTCAGAGATATTTTCAGAGATAGGGGTTGGCCAAAGGGGTTGTGACACACAGGTTGAGAATCACTGTTGTTCTAAATGGAAACCAGGGATTGAACTCTGGTGGTCAGGCTTGGTGACAAGTGCCTTTCTCGCTGAGCCACCTCATGCCAGCCCCATAAGCCAAATTATCTACCTGCTCATAATGGGCAACTCAAAATTTTTCCATTTTATGAAGCCCATGTTTCTAAACGGCATGGCAGCCAAGCCATCAAGCCATAGGCCATACCTGAGATGGGTCACATAGCCCTGCAGACAGGCTGTCACTGCCCTAACAAAGGGTCAGGATGTTGTTTCTCCTTTCTTTTTAAATTGGAGGATGCCTGATAGAGATGCTGATTCAAGCCTATGTGACAGCTAGCACACAGAGTAGACAGGAAGTTGTGGATGTGAGGTAAAGCCATTCACCTGGTTACCTAGGAGACAGAATGCTAATGTATTTCCCCTAAGTTAAGTTTTGGTATAAAGGCTGTTTTGGAGAATAAACAGAGGAAATTCTTCAGGATGTGAACTCAGGATATCATGAGGGATCTCTGAGAATCTCCCTCCCGATGAAACCATGTGAGTCCCGTCTTTATTCCCGTCCCCTCCACGCCTGTCCAGAGAGAGATTATGTTGGGGTCTGGTCGAGAGAAATAATTGATGGTCTAGGCTAGCACTGGACCCCGACAATTTTACCATTTGACTGAACTGATACTGTAGAGACCAGTGTTTCAGTAAAGACACTTTCCATACCAAACCTAAATCTTTTAAAGATTTTATTTGTATTGGTGTGTGTGCGCGTGTGTAGATATGTGTTCATGAATACCGGGGCCTTCCCAGAAGAGGGTACTGGGTTCCTGGAGCTGTGGTTTATGGGTAGTTGTGGCTGTCTGCTGTGGGTGGTGCTAGGAACTCAACTCCAGTCCTCTGGAAGAGCAGCAAATGGCTTTACCCATGAATACCTCTCTCCAGCTCACAATGAAATTCTTAGGAGATTTAGGTCCTAATATTGGAGAAGCATGTGAGGGTATAAAGCCTGAACCTTCTCAGATCTGACCATTTGTATAGTCCTGAGTGACAGAAACCCCTGGTGCAGTAGATCTTGGAAAGTGCCAGCTGCTGACCCAGAGACAGCATCCAACTGGCAAGATGCTGGCAGAGACAATCAGGTCTGGCACTTGGGATCTGATGCTTCTGTGGTATGGAACCAAGATACTGAAAAACTGACACCAGTGTCTTCAGTCCCCAGCCTGGCCTGACCTCCCTTGTGCACCATGAGCCTCTCTGTCTTATGTGTGTCTTGGATGGAGGTCAGCAACAGTAGGAAAACAAGAGCAAAGCTCACCCTCGAATGAGAACCTCAGTTCCAGGAGCACCACCAAGGCTGACATCTACAAGTGTGATGCAAGACTCTGGCCCCCAGAGGCCTGAGATCTCCAGGATTTAGGACAGGACACCAAACAGGACAGCCAACAGGGACTTGCAAGAGCTTGTTCTATCTATGGCAACAATGGTGTTTCAGACAAACATAACCCTCTTTTGCCTAAGGCTGGGCAAGCCCAGTCCCCTGCCTACAGCTTAGCTGTTAAATACAGTAGATGAGTCCCAGAAGACTGCTTAGGTTGGCAATGAAAACTAATTCTGGTATTTGCATTAACTACTGTCTTCCATTTCTGGTGGGCTTTGGTTTTGCTGGGTCCACATTTTTGCAAGATCCAAATTGTGCCCCCCCCCAATTTTCAGTCAAACATAAACACACACTATTCGTTTTGTGTTTTTCCACTAAATTCAATTTCCCCAAGTTAATTTGTACTTTTAAGGCTACCAGTATTACCTGATTTTTTGCATAAGTGTTTAAACATTTTAGTTAAAAAGGACCTATGCATAGTTATAACCATTCTCAGGTTTTTTTTTTTTTCAACTTATGACTTGGGTAAAAGACAAATACTCTTTACCTTTAGAAACAACAAGCAAAGCCCAGGAGTAGACAAATATGGATTTAGATGCTTCATTTAAAAAACAGACTCAAAATACCATGTTTCATGACTCTTTCTGGATCAGAAATCCTTGCTGTGTGAATATGACAGTGCTGTAACTCATTGTTACCTTCATTTTGGGTTTTGTCCTAAATTTACTAAGATTTCTCTGAAAAGATAAGTTTTCCTCAGTTCTTAATACTTCCCCGGCTTTTATGACACCAAGGTCAATAAGAGTTAGCATAGTATAAACTTTTTGTAGTTCCTTCCTAAACAACTCAAGTGATTGTTTCTAGTTATTCTTTCCTTTCTTTCTTCCTTCTTTCCTTCCTTCCTTCCTTTCTTTTCTAAGACTATGAAACAAAGACTGGAGGGTCTGATGCATTACAGCAGGGGATGGCATCCTGGACTGCCACTCGAATCTGGACAACCTTTGTAGAAGTGTTTGCTTTTAGCGGTGAAGTTACCAGAAGAGCAGGTCACCACACGCTGCTTGTGGCTTGTTCTACCTCCTGCTGACCTTAGTGTGTGAAGGGTGCTTGGTGTGAGGTTTAGCTTAACAAAGGCTTTCAAAGGAAGTGTGCAGGCCTCATGGTTAGGTGCTCAGCAGGAAGGGACAACACTGTAATTGTCTCTTGTCTCTGCAGACTTGAAAACACAACCGTGGTTAATGGGTTCATTTTGGTTACCATGACTGACAGGAAACAGACCATTGCACTTGACTAAAGGCTAGGATGGGGTAAACAAACTGTTGTAGAGTCTCAATGTTTGCTCTTTGGACTTCTACACACTACTAAAAATCGAGGGACTCCATAGTCAGACTGATGACTATCTTGAATATCACCATAGAACCTTCGTCCGGCGACGAATGGAGATAGAGACAGAGACCCACATCGGAGCACTGGACTGAGCTCCCAAGGTCCAGTTGAAGAGCAGGAGGAACAATATGAGCCAGGAAGTCAGGACCACGAGGGGTTGGTCCACCCACTGAGACAGTGTGCCTGAGCTAATGGGAGCTCACCAAAGCCAGCTGGACTGGGACTGAACAAGCATGGGATCAAACTGGACCCTCTGAATGTGGCTGACAATTGGGGCAGATTGAGAAGCCAATGATAATGGCACTGGAATTTGTCTCTACTGCATGTACTGGCTTTTTGGGATCCTATTCTATTTGGATGTATACTTTCCTAAGCCTGGATGGAGGGGAGTGGGCCTTGGACTTCTCACAGGGCAGGGTACCCAGCCTTCACTAAGGACTAAAGGGGGAGGGGAAGAGGATGAGTGCAGGAGTAGGAGGGAAGTGGGAGGAAGGGAGAAAGTGGAAATTTTGATTGGTATTATTTATAAAGTAATAAAAAATAAAAAAATTGAGGGACTCCAGGGGGATTATTTTATAGTTGTATCCATTGATACCTTGGGGAAGGAAATGTAAGAAAAAAGATAAAAAATAACCACAAGTTCCACTTCATGTCACAAATATTATGATCGATTCTGCAATAAAATGAAGACTGAAAAATTTTAAGAGTATTTAGCCAGTGCTCTGTAAGGCGGACAAGAAACTTAAGACGCATGCTATTGTCAGAGGAATGAGGTATCTCTGAAAGGTAGCAATGGGGTGTGGCGTCCAAGAACTGCAGCCCATATTTCGAAAACTGCTTACCAAGAATATTTTTTGGTATCCAGGAATATTTCTTTTTTTCAGAGACAGGGCGTCTCACTGGTTGGTCTGGATCTCGCTATGTAGGCCAGGCTGGCCTAGGACTCCTGAAAATCCGACTGCCTCGGCCTCCAGGACTGTGATTAACCACGCCTGCCTTCCAGGAATGTTTCTTGAAAAAGGCAGTTCGAGTTGTGAGCCGGTCCTGGCTAACCGGCTGCGGGGTGGGGGCAGCGCCTTCCAGAATACTGAGGCCTAATGGTTCCATTTTCAAGTCACACTCAGGAGGTAAGCGGTAGGCGGGGAAAGAGAGGGGTCAGTTCGGCATCAACGGTCCGGTTTCCTGCTTATCCCGGTTGGCAGCCGTCGGTTGCAGCCTCCCCGCCGTAGAGGCCTGCCAGGTGGAGCCTTTCGGGCGGCTGCGCGCAGAGAGTAGTGCGCAGGCGCGGCTCACGCAGCCCCGGCCCCGGAACGGTAA